TCCGTTCTCCATATTGACAGGACTTGCTGACATCATCGCAAACGCGTTGCGCTGGAAATGATCAGGGTTGAACTGTCCTCCCCATGTGTTAGCTGATCGTGTGAACAAACTTGGTGGCTCTGACTGCAAATGGAATGCGTTTGGGCTTTGAATCTCGGGCTGGCTTCCACTTAACGTGCTATCGTTGTGCTCCTGGCTCTCATCGTAGAGAGAGCGGGCAAGTGCGTTGATGTAGCTACTGTTGGAAATGATAGACGGTGATTGATATTGCTATTGGGGTATATTTAGGGGGGTCTGAAGCAGCTCTGAGTAGATGATGAAAGATTGATCTTGGGCTGAATATTGGGCAATGACCGTTGGCCTTCGATCGCTCTAATACATCTGCTCAGGACTCAGCAGTCCAGTCAGGCACGTTATGACAGTGATGTATGTAACATGAATGAAGAGTATGCTTACCATCCGCAGAGTAGTTTTCAAATGGCACGGAACTTGTCCAAGGTCCAAGGTAAGTCCCTTTGTGAGAATATCGGCCTTCTGACCTTCTGATTTGATATATTCAACTGATATGTTGTTTGTGGAATCCGAAATGTTTGGATCTTGGGGTGTATTGTCCAGGCTTGAGACGAGCAAGTTTTAGACATCCCATATTGTCTTTCCACACAGTTGTCTTTAGAGATTTTGGCTGTTTTGTTGGATAGCCCAAGTCCTTGAGCTACCGTCTTGAAACTCTTTGCAGAGGTAAGATATCACGCATTGCCATAGACAGCGCATTGTATTCCGCTTCCATAGTGGCAGTGGCAATGTCAGCTTATAGTCTTGACACCCAAACCACAGGGTATCCACAGACTGAGATGACATATCCAGTTCTTGACTTGACAAATGTAGTATCCTTAACGTCTTCAACTGAGTAACAACCGGCAAAATCCGCATCAACATGACATTCAATTTCAAATGAATCGGTCAGTCGCATGATTAGGCCTTCATTTACTGATGATTTCAAATATTGCCCAATTCTGATCAGCGCTTTTTTGTGCGAGCGCTTAGTCCCGTGGATGAATCGCACACACTGAGACATGGCAAATTGTATGTCCGGACAAGAATGTCTGCACAGATACAAGGCCATTCCGATCACGCTTGCATATGAGAAACTACCATTTGCAGGATCTCCATTCTCGTTTTTTTCAAGGGGGTCTTTCAACGCAGGAGTGTGCTTCTGAGGTTTGTGATCAATATTGAGGGCTTCAGTGATCCGTGTGTAAGTTTGATTGTCTTATTGGACTCCAAGAAATCCAGCAACAGAATCTTCGATTTCCACTGCAACACGTTGACTTTTCAAACTCTCCATTGCTTTGTTTATGTACTCTTCTTTAGGACTGAAGAACAATGTGTCGTCGATGTAAACAAGGCAGATAACTTTATCTGAAATAAAGAGACATGGATCAACTTCTTTGTGAGATTTGAATCCTGCATTTTCCAGCTTCCCTTTGATGAAATTGAAGAAATTAACGGGCAATTGCTTGAGCCCATAGAGGCTTTTCTTGAGTTTCAATACCTTTCCTTTTTTGGCAAAGCCTCTGGGCATTTCACGGAAGACTTCCTTGTCTCCTATGGGTGCATGAGTGAAGGAAGCGGTGTAATCAACTTGCTTAGTTTTGAGTCCCAGTACAAGGAATAGAATTAGGAGGAGGCGGACTGTCTGCCAAGAGACGACAGGTGAGAATATTTCATTAGAATTGTAATCAATTCCATTTTTCTGTCGATCACCTCTCACACAGAACCGTCCTTTCAATTTTCAAACTTTCCCATCTGGATATCTTTTACATTTGAATGCCCATATTTAGGGAAGGACATTCATTGATTGAAGTCGGGGAACCACTTCCCAGACCTCCATTTGCTGTAGGGTCTTGATCTCCTTGATTGCTGCTTCCATGTAACCATCGGCTAGAGGACCGTTCATAGCTTCTTCCCAACGGTGAGACATGTTTGGTTCAAAGGTTCAGGATTTGCGCGACCACACCGCTAAAATCAATTGTCTGCTTCTTCAAGGCAAGATCATGTTGCCAAGTTGCAGAGTTGAAGGGCATGTGGTCTGCTCGATAACTCTTGATATTGTTGGCTTTTGCCCATCGCTCGAACTTGTGCTTTGCCATCAGAGTTTTGCCTGCTCAAAGAGAAACTTGTTTGACAATGAAGATTGCACCAGAAGCGTGGTCACAAAAGATAGTACCCCCTGAGTACTGATTCTTCTTCTTTCCTTTTCCTTTGGTGTGTGGCAATCTACCAGGTACATAGGAAACATAGCTATTGATGGAAACTTTGGCACCCGGTGTCAGATCTCCCTCTTGAATAGCTATCTCCCGATCATTGAAGGCTTGTTGTGATTCTGGAGTTTGTTGGGCTTGCTTGCCAAGTTCACAAGCGGCACAGAGGATGGTCCGTTGTGAGTTGCTTGCTCCTTTATGGCGACATGGTAAGATTGCATCTTGATTTGGATCGTTAGGTTGTGCTAGGAGACGCTGAATCCATTTGAAGTGAGCATGCCCAAGCTTGACATGATAGAGCAGTATCTCTTTCTCACCAGCTGTAAGATTTTGATTGTTTTCAGCTCAAAGTGACAACCTAACAAAGCCTAATCCAGCGCAATGGGCACTTGCGTCCAACATCATTGGAATATTGTTTGATTGGAATGGAAACTCAAGTTCCGATTTGTCGGCAAGCATGAGGACAACTTTGCGGTGGTTCAAGAAAATGGAACCAGCTCCCTTTGTCTCTTGGAAGTAGCATTGTGGCGAGAACAATCAAATCTGTGCAGATGGAACCAGGTAAGCCATAGTTCTGATCCGTCGCACGGATCCATAGACGTCTCTAACAGTCCATTCAACTGTTCCACTTCCCACAACCCCACACACTCCTTGGAGTTCATTGATAGATTTGAGTGGGCTAGGGCGGACTTTAGAGATGAAATCTAACTCATGAGGTTTACTTGAGACAGATGATTTGGTATCAATGACCATTGGAGTCTTCAAGTTGTCGGAGAGGTAGACCATCTGATGGTGGAGCATGTCTGGCAACCGCGGAATATGACAATCAATCTGAGAGATAGCGGCGTTCACAGCTCAAGACAAGATTGAGCGTTCAACATAGCGATTTAAAATGATAGTAGTACCATTTCTTGTTGACTTTTGCTCGATTTTTCTTTCAATTAGATGGCACGGGAAGACGCTCAAATTGAACTCCGGCGCCAAGCCTGGAACGCCCTTTCTTGCATGGATTCTTTTGGGCCTTCTTTTTGTCAAAGAATTTCCGTTATTCTGTCCACGCGCTCTTTCTTTATTGGTTCTGTGCAGGCAGTGACAGAGTGCTTGCCACCGCAGTTGAAACAGGGTCCCACTGCCTTTTGAGCCAAAAATGCAGTTTCGTTGACCTTGTGAAATTGGCCAGTCCATCCTTCTTTAATGCTTGTTGCAAGATCAAGTATCATATCAGGGGAGCCATAAGCAGCATTGCCTTGAGTAAGTGCCTGCTCGTATTCGTTGATTTCTTTGTTGTGGAAAACCTCATTAAACTTGGGATCACCTGATGTCTGGAACAACAAGATGAGAGTTTTGCCAATGTCATGAGGAACGTTTGTTGGGGTCGCCTGTGTCGTGATGGTCACACCACCAATGGTGACCTGGTTGGCCTGATTGCGTGCTGGCATCGCGACTTGCGGAGGGTTCTGAACTTGCTGAAGGTTGGTGCTTGCTTGAGAGCCAGCCCTTGTTGCAGGCTGTTGGAGGCTTCCTTTGAGGTTGTCTGAGAGATCTCTCTGAATTTGAGGGCCTAACTTCTTCCTGACAATCCTCTGAGGTGATTTGAGGTGTAGAAGCGTTCCTCTTCTTCTTAGATCGCTTCTTCTTGGAAGGAGTCGCCAGTTCAGGCGTTGATGACATTCACTTTTGTTGTATCTACTCTGCAATACTTGGGCTCATAACCTGCAAGGATTGTCTGTAAAGGGACTTGATGGACAGTTGAGGACACTAGGCAATAGAGTTGTAATAGAGATAGGATGGCTATCCTTATTGATGATAGTTCATGAAAGTGGGGATTGCTCTGAACTTGAGCAGAGGATCCAGCAGTAGAAACACGTAGAGAGTTGTATATAGAATTTGGGAGAAGAACTGAGGTGTCAAATGATCGTGAGAACTACCCAATCAGAGTAAGCCACCGGTCCAATCTATTGGACTTGCGGTGCGATTTGTTTGACCTCAACATGTCGGAACAAAGGGGGCAACACCAAGCAACCTCATATCTATACAGTCAGGAACGGCCAGGAACGGTGGTCAAACGAGTCAAATCGAAGTCGTAAGCTGCAGGAAAATTGGAATCGTGGAGACAGAATTTTGCAAAATCTTAGTGGTGGTACAGATCACTTGTTAAGACATATGGACTATTCAAAGAGCATCATTCGTGTTTGCGGAGGGTGGGAGCGTTCCACACGCGTCAAGAAAAAATTCTCTGATTGAACTAATCTCCCTTCAATTGATTTTTTGCATGTTGGCATTGCTAGAATTTTCAACGGATTGGCTGGCTCGTGGACCACTGGTTCATGGATTGACTTGCTTGTGGACCACTGGTCCACGCTTGACATTCTCGTGGACCACTGGTCCACGGCTTGACATGCTCGTGGAACAGTGGACCATTCAATCACATTGCCCCATTCTAATTGCCCCTGCCGGGATTTGCAGCCAGTTGGCAAGACGATCGGCGGGAATGCCCGGCAAAAACAATGACAATCCAAACAACAGATATTATTAATATCAATCAATAGTGGTAGTCAAAGTATGCGATACGACTATTTTTTGTTTTTTTCAATCAACCAATAGAATCGCAGGGTTTTCATGGGAACTTTGAATACCCCTTTTTTGGGTCTTTTTCATGACACGTTACGACTATTTTTTGAAAAAGCCTCAGTAGTTTAGAGCAACAATGTTTCTCGTTGGATTTTTTGCTGGGTATTTTCCCTCCATTTTTTGGATCATCACGGACTAGCATCCATAGAACCGACAGTACAAGTAGCAGGTACCATCCAGTACACAACAGAGAAAGGCATCACAGCACAGTTAGATGCAAACGAGAAGCGAACCCCTCCATGCTACGGCCCATGCCACAGTTGACGATACGAATGATGTGAATACACAGCTGTCATAAAACAACTGTTGCCAAAAGACCGCTGCACAGTTCATGAGCGGAACTACAACTGTCTTGAAGGAAGCTCCTTCCTGCAAGTTCAAGAATAAATGTTTGCGTCCAAAGGATAAGGAACTTGTAAAATGCGCCCAGGCTGATTGTAACAAACACTTTCACACCTGCTGCTCTGAAGCAAACAAGCGCAGCGACGGTAGTGTTTTTTGGGCTTGTACCAAGACACATTACACGGCACTTCAAAACTCCAAGTCATCATCCCGGGTCCCTTGGGATAAAGACGGTGCAGATGGCCCTAGAGATCCACCAAACTCGGAAAGAATCTTGTTGGACTGGCTCCTTACTGCAAACAACTATTACAAGTACAAAGGTGGCACTGGTAATAGAGGAACGTCGGCTCTTGACATGTGTTATTTCTGCAGGAATTCATCTGCGTTGAGCCACTGCTGCACATCTCCGTTGGCAATTGCCTTCATGTCTTCTTCAAAGATATATTTTGACGACATGCGGTACTTGGATCGGTGAAGGTAGCGTCACGATTCCAGTCTTTGTATACGTTCCAGCAAAGCAAAGTCAAGAAGATCGGCAACAGCGTCCCTTTGTCCTGTCATCATTCGAAGCTCTCTGTGGGTGACACGCTCCTCCAGCATCTCCCAAAGTACTTCCACATGTTTTCTTTTTACGGATTTCCTAGGCATATTTGTGGTAGTCTGCAGCACACTGATTTGTTACATCAACAGAATTGTGACATGATGTGATCGATCCAAAGAAATATTTGGAAGCAAAGCAAAGCTACTGTAGCATGTTCTGAGCAGACGTGAAATAGATATAGCACAACCCAACTATATTTTATTTTACTTTGGGCTAGGTTCACTTCAAGAGAAGCGTTTTCACAACATATATATAATTGGACTTAACATCAGCTCCTTTTATGCAGTAAATTACTTATTTCCGGGTCATTAAAAATAAAAAATAGTTGTGTCTGAAAAAAAAATAAATGTCCCGAAAATACTCGGTCTGGGATACCCCGCAGTTTGTCCTAGATCCGGGTTTCTATTATTTCTTTTTAGTCCGTGTGGTCATTTTCACCCTTTTCTGCATTAGTCTCTCATGATGAAATTGACTTAGGGCAAATTAAAAGT